GTTTTTTAGTGCAGTCATGGCTGTTTCAAAGAATTTTTGTGACACTCACATGCTGATCGTACGTGTTTTGTACTGACGTGTTCATGCCTGCCCATAAAAGCGGCCACATACTCGTATTTCTGTTAATCCTGACGAAGGCCGTGCCACGGCCGAAACGTAGAGTAAACAATTATCAAATTTTCGTAAGTGTGCTCCTTTATTCTTCACTATATTTGCACCGGACCCACAAAATTTCTTTTTTGAATCATATATATATATATATATATATATATATATATATATATATATATATATATATATATATATATATATATATGAAAAACAAGGTGTCCTTAGATCCAGTGGAAAAATACGAAGAAGTGGAGGACGGGCAAAACAAAATGTTTTCATTTTTCCTACGTTTCAGACGGGGACCGGCCTTCATCAGGGAAAAAAAACTTTCTTTCCCTGATGAAGGCCGGTCCACGGCTGAAACGTAGGAAAAATAAAAAGTTTTCGTTTTGCCCGTCCTCCACTTCTTGGTGTGTATATATATATATATATATATATATATATATATATATATATATTGTGGGAGTAATAATTCAATGGGCCAGTTAGTCTTCGTGAAGGTATGGGATATGGCACAACGGGAGCGTTGTCAACAAGGCTAAGTATATTTATTTCCCAACAGTTTCGGGAGGGGTCCTCCCTTCATCAGGGGATGAGTTATACTGACATGAGCTTCCAAACTTCGTTGCTGCCGCGTCCCTCTCGTCTTGAAAAATGTTTGCGAGAGTGAGAGGGAACTAGAAAAAAAAGCGGGGGGGGGGAGAAAAAAGACGAAAAAGAAAAAGAAAGAAAAGAAATAAAGTAAAAAAAGAGGAAGAACCACTGTCAACACTGAGAACGAAACCAACTGTCCGTCTACATCCACATACGGTTCATATCACGTGCTGTTCAGTTCTTGACGTGTGTCGGGCCACCCAAGATTGTCGCCGCGGTGCCGGGAGGGTCCGTGACGGCGTGCGTAAAGAAAGGGGTTTCCCCGTAATGGGTCGGTCGGCGGGCGGCGTGCGTAAAGGAAGGGTTTCCCCAGCGCTTTCCTCGGAACGAGAGAAGAGATAACGCATGCGATAAACCTTTGCAGCCCCACTCGCACTGGACGGATTCTTAAAATTTTTGCGGCGTTGAATTTGTGACGCAATAAGCTCTTCTAGTGAATTCATTCTATGTTACTTGAAGTGTTTCAGCGCCCCTTTAAGCATTTTGTTCGACAGGTGTCACTACGAAAACGAGCCCTTTCGGCGATAATAGCGCGCGCTGGTCCAATCTACTGTGTGCGTGTTTATGTAACAAAACATATGAATAAGTATGCACTTAACGCTTGAAGGGTGCACTAGGGGCCGGATTTCGTTCAACCCTTAAAGGCGAACCTTAACGGTCCCCCAATTTTTGAAAATGCCCTACTGTGGCGCTTGTGTTCTTGTGCATTCACCTTAATTTCTCGGTAACTAGGGCACTGTTGTTGATTATATTGTCGTTTTAGATGTTGTCATACATTGAGGTTTCACTCTGACGTAAATTGTTATTTGACCTTAGTGTCCCTTTAAGTGGGACATTGCTTCGTCACACGTGGGCAGAAATGATCATCATGAACCGGCACGCGCTCCCTTTCATGGAGGAAAAGTATATGTATAGGAGGGGGGCATTCATATCGTTCGAAGCTGTTTGCTCCTCGTGTTCATTCTCACTTCCCATGATGCTCCTCTTCCACACCATTTTATGGTGGGCTCGTAAAAAAAAAAAAAATACGAGCGAGCGCACATAGCTGCGCCCACAAGCCAACCTCCTCGCTCCGTCAGTTACCCTCGTTTGCTGGATTCCGTGCCGACCGGTTGTGCCCTCGCGATCTCCGGCGTCAGCGTAGCTCTGGCCGACTGGGCTCGCCCTACGTCACCTCCTGGCGCCGACGACCTTCGACGACAGTGTAGCTCTGACCGACTGGACTTGCTCTACGCCATCTACTGACGCCGACAAGAGCTCTCGCAAGTGGTGCCCCTTGCTCGGACTCCTGTGACCGTGTTTCCATCTTTCCTATCTCTCCTATCCCCTCAGTTAGTTGTCGCTCCTTCTGGCTTACCACCTCACGTCTCTTCCTCTTTTCTACACCTTTACTCCTACCCCTTTTATGCCTCCTCACCCCCATCCCTTGTGAGCTACTGTTGAGGTGTCGCTCACTGAAGCAGAGAGTCACGGGGCTCACTTTTCTCTTCCTTTCTCTCGTAAGAATCACCCTCTCCTCCGATGTCACTCGACCTTCACTCTCCAAACGGGGGGGGGGGGGGGGGGCTCACTTCCTAGCATGTTCCTCTTTCATTTTTTTTTTGTGGCTGGGCTTCAGAATTGTCCCATGACGCTCCCTCCTAACGTTTTTTCTTTCCTCCACGCTCCCTTTGTCTTCTTTGCTCCCATTTGACCAACGCAACTAGATGCATTAACTCTGATGGGCGAGATAACGAGTACAGCAGAGAAAGAAATAGTGATAAATTTCTATCAAAAAAAAAAAAAATGCTTGGCTAGGAGGGATCCGAACAATTGAACCTACAGGGCAAGCGTAGTAACCAATGGGCTATCAAAGCATGCCAGCAGAGCATAGCCATGTGTAGTTTAGTATGGCAAGAGAAATGTGAGAAGGAAAGAGTAAAACATAGCACAGAAAAAGAGAGAAAAACGGACATAGAAAAATGGATAAAAAGGAAGCAAGTGAAAAATACAAACAAAGGGAAGAAATAACGATACAAAGAGAAACAAAAACAATTGAAAGAGAACAAGTTAAGAAATATAAAAGTAAACACAACAACCGACACAGACTAAGTCGAGACAAAAAAAGAAAGAGAGGAAGAAGAAATTAAAAATACAGAAGAAAACTTACCCTGCTCCAAACTTTCTTCCCACTTGACCCACTAGTTCGAAGTTGCTATATTTTATTCGAATGCTTTTGTGCATTAAATTATAGAAGTAATTATTTAATTATTATCAAAACTTGTGCAAGCATACTCAAAAATATTTCTGATGATTGGGCATCTGCAATTTTTATTAGCACCTTCAAAGAGACAATACATAAAAAGTAGTGTCTTCTTTCTGTATTTAGAATTGAAAATAATGGCACTACTGCAAATTAACTCCAAATAATACATCTTCACTACACAGCCAAATCATTTGTGTCATGGCAGAAAGGTGATAGCATAAAAAAATGTACCGAGTATGTGCCATTACATTGGGACAAGCATCCACACGCTTTAGTAAGCAGCGTGAAAAGTAGGGCCACTTGGTAAGAGTTCATTTTCAGTCTAACTGTGCAGTGGGACGAGAGACAAAGACCCGAGACAAACAAGCAGAAAACAAACTAAACTTATTTGTCTTACTTCTTAATGTCTTGTCCCACCGCACAGTTCAACCGAAAAAATCTACTCGCTTATCACAGCATATAAATATTATATAGGCTTGTGTGAACAGTGATCTCGTCGAATGATTTTGAATAAAGTTTGAATCAGTGTATATCACATATCATAAAGAAAAATGAGTATACTGGACATGATGCAACTAACGTGCACAATATTTTATAAAAATGGAAACTAGGCGTGTGCAAGTCTCATTTTTGTTCAATTCAAAGGGAAGATGGAGTAACTTTGAATAGTAGCACGACTTCACTTATACAAAAATGCAGGTGATAACCTTTAAAATACACTACACTTGCAAATTTGTTACAGGAGCATATCACCTGACATGACCCCGCATAACAAATTTTTTAGACTTGAAGAAAGTGAAGGTAATATGTTCATTTAACTCTGAAGTGGGGCTGCTACGGCAGTGTGGGTTTCCACTGGATAAGTGCATTAATGGTATAGCAACCCTCCATTGCAGAGAAATGATCTTTACAGGGGTGCTATGCTTGGACTAATATGGACCTCCTCGGCGCTCAGCAAGGTTAAATCATTCAAAAACTGTAAGACCATATGCTCCTAAAAATAACACATTCAAGTACTCCTTTTTTGTAAGAACCATTGAAGACTGGAATTCACTGCCTTCCTACTGCGTGCACGCTCCTACTTCTTCTAGTTTCGACCTCTGTGTTAGGAACCTTATGTAACCCTCTCCTGCTAGGATGGTGAAAAACTGTCTGCAGTATTCCTTAAATAAATAAAATAAATAAATAATATATACCTATTCGTTCATTTTGACCTTCCAATAACTTCAATTCGAATCAAAGCAATTCGTATACTGTAGTATTTGTTTGAACATTCAAAGTGCTTGAATATATACACAAGCCTAGAAGTATGCATACAAGAAAGATCTCAACTAGCCTGACTTTCTGACACACTCAACAGGCTACATGTAATGACTCAGATTTGATGTCAAAAATCTTTGCCAAAAAATGCACAGGAGAGGAAAGAGAGGCATGACACTTCAAGCAGCTTTTTGGCATTTGGGCTGCAACTTTTTGATATTGTGGTCAAGTATCTAACAGCAGAACCGTAGTTTCCTACAATATTTACTAGAGGGACCTCTGGCAGTGCAATCATTCGACTACCATGAGAATGATGGGTAGTACACAGATTTGCCTAATCTTTATGTTTATGACTTCGAATATTGCCCTTTGACGTCTGTTACGAATTGATCATTCTAAACTTTGCGAGTCGCCATTCTGACCTAGTGAGTCTAAATATGTCAACATGGTGAAGTAAAACTGCTGAACATTTGCCGACCTTCGTTTTGCGACAAAGCGACTCCAGGTCACATGGAGACAAACAGAGGAGACAGAACGAAGTTGAGACATATCCATGTACTATACCATGCTGGCTGAAGCGCCATGTGTTGTAGCTCCCGTAGACACTAGAGTCACGGTTTCGTCTCGCGTATTTGTAGAAAACTCCAGGGGTGAACCATCACCACGGACCATGACCCAATGGAGAAGCGCAGCAGCTGCTGCGGAATCTTGAAACACGGCATATCAAAAATTGCGGTGCATTCAGTGCATTTATTTCTTGAATGACAGATTATTCTGTTTTGTGAGAGCAGGCTACACACATGACAATCACAGGAAAAGCACATATGAGTGTGGGTTATACAATATCATTAGAGAAAGAAAAGAGATAGCACCAGCACAGGTTGCTGTATTCCTACATTAGAAAAAAATGCAATTATCGAAAAGGAAACAGACAGCCTCATAAAAGGGCTACACAGTCGATCCTGAATATATCAAACTAAAAGCAGACTGCTAATAAGCATACCGAGACGTAGATGATTTCATGCAAAACATGTGGCTAAAGTTTGTCTGGAAAGCATGCAGAGCTAAGACAGTTTTCCAGAGATGGTCAGAGGCAGAAACTTCACTTATTACTCTAAGGCCACAATGAACACTCAAAATCAGGCTCCTACTGACTCAAGCCCGCTTATTTCAACTTCTTGCCACATTTTAACATCACCAAGAAGGTTGTGGCAAGAACTACACGTCACTCCTCAGTGAAATCACCTTAGGGACCTCATTACAATTTATTACAAGAGACACTTGAAAATGATCTGGTTCGTGCTTTTTACATTCACCATGTTAACAACACTGCATATAAGAAACTTCGCTTATACTACGTAGGCAAGGACACAACCTAGACATGTTCATGCAACAAGGCTGACTGGACCAATGAGAAAATGCTACCATCTTTATTCCCCTGGAATCGATTCTTTTCCTTTCTTCAGCCGGATGTCATTCCTTGCACGATTGCAACCAGAAAACGCACTGAACATTCTGTAATTTTGAACAAATAGCAGGGAAGTAAGTGTTGGAAATCGGGGCTAATGAATATGTTCAGAGGTAACATGAAGGTTTGCAAGGTGGCTAATACAACCTGCCACAAAGCAAACTACTGTGCATGACCACTTGAGGCCACCCTGAGCCCTTTTTTGAAAATGTATTAAAATACACTTTGAGGCTAACAGATAAAGTGGTCTAGCCCGACTAATGAAGAATTTTCGGTTACAAGAGACTTTGGTTATAGGAGAGAAGTGTCTTGGATCCTTAGAGTGTCTGTTGTAATAAAGTTTCAGGTGCATATGTAAAGGCCACTAAGTTTGAACAAAAAAATATGCTGTTTGGATAATTTGGCCTTCATGCATTCAATACCACTCAAAGCACGAAAACAGAGTCAATTCAGTAAATAGCACTTCTACTTTGGTCTGTCTTGATGACCTCGCCGGAACAAAGTGTCGAAGGACTACTGGCTGGCAACTGACAATCGCATGAGGAGAAGTGTCCCACACTTCGGCAGCACGTCCTTTGTCAAATGATAGCCCAGTCACACTTCTAGATCAGAAAAAAAGAAGGCATCACAGCAGACTCCATCAATAATATTGCTGCTTAAATGGAACTGCCTCCAATATAATTAGTTTCGTTCTGCTGCCTTGTTCCCCTCTCATAAAGTGGAAGTCCTGTTAAAAAGACCGACAACTGCCCAGAACATGAAACGAGATGACTGTGTGGATAGAAAGATTGTCCCTAACTAAAACAGTTTTTCTCGTGAAAAGTGAACTTATACTTTCATTTCTTCATTAAGAACTGCAAAAAATAGCCTGTGGTGCTCTGGTGGCAGAAACTTCAATTATTTGACGTAACCTGTCATGTGAGCGTAGATTAGCGTATGCGGTCTGTTAGCATTGAAACAGTGTTCGCTTATTTGCAGTTAGAGATATAACTCCATGAAAATGTACACATAGGCCTCCATTAAGAGTATGCACTGAAGTGGCGCTGCCTTCGCGTGACGTAATGATCTCATGTACGTGAGCCTGTTTTGAGCAACGTTTCTGCGCGCTCATGAAACCGTGCATGCGGTTTCCAGGTTGCTAAGATTCTGGAGCAATATGGTTCTTTTACCTACAACCTTGTCTCAGAAATGATGTGTACTGCTGATTGGCACGGCCACGCATATGTTTGGCTTGTGTGTCGAGGAAGTGACGACGACAGGACAAGCCATCGTCGACACATGTGCAACAACCTTAGGCGCAGGTGCACACTACGTGGTACAAATACAAGGAAGCTGTATAAAGCCACGTCGTCTCAAAGTAATGGCTTGTTATTTTCAAAAATTGTTGTGAAGTTCAGAACAAACGTGGTTAAGCGTAGTTACAGGAACTCCTGCGAAAGCAGAACGACAACATGCAAAAGTCGCTAGAAGGACTACTGGCATCGCTATTAATTCTCAGTGTAGCTGGACGATAAGGGACAGCCGTGCTCGGAGCTTTTCAGATTGGAAAATATAGCTTATAAAATAACTACACGCTTTTGGGACAAACTACTGCAGCTATGAACACTACTAAGGATAAGCTTTCTGTCGTGCCGGAAAAAACTAGGTAGAAAAAAAATTAGTTGTCGGTCCCTTTAATACAATCTCCTGATCCCTCGAGGCTCTGTTTAATGACAGTCTACTGTACATGCAGATCGTTAATATTGAATGTAATGTGGAACTTTAAGAAAGGAAAAGAAGACAGCCACTCGTTTGTAGCATGAAGCCACCTTGCAAGTAGAACTAATTTGCAATGCAATGTGAAACTTTGTGTTCCTACAACGACCCAAAAAAAAAGAGCTTCCTGTGTTAAATAACCGTGTCGCAAGCAACTTGGCCTGCAAAAAGGTGCTCATAATAGCAATGTCACCCATGAAAGCCTATGTTGATGGACTGCCCACGACCTCATTTCTATCAATGTGACTGCTGCATACTTTTATTCCAGGTAAGGTAACACGGGTTAAAAGCACTAACCTGCATGGATAAGCACCACATCAGCAGCAGGTCACACAGGCCAAATTAGGAAGAAACGTTAGGAGACAACAGCCATGCCCATTCTCCCTCCCATGCTCCCCGACTCTGTACCGTTATGCTGCCGATGACTCTGTCGTCCTTTGTTGCAAGAGTGCAGTCAAGCCCTAGTTTCAATATACTGCAAAATAATGGCTGTGACCACTTGCAGAAAACAGTTTACAAACCTCCGAGTGAGAAGTGCCACTGTTTTTTAACTGCAACCACATTAGCATTGACTGAGAAACATCACTTGCTCATCATTTCTTTTATATGGACATCCAGATGTTAGTTCTTGTTAGGCAGCATCAGTGAAGTAGGAGAACATGGCCACATTAGAAGACACACACTTGGAGGAAATTAATGCAGGTTTCAACATACGATATGCGATTTGCATACATGTGCACAATAAAGCTACACTTTTTTACAATATTTCAAAGGGGATGTCCAGATGTTACTCAGAAATGATAATTCGAATTATATAGCATCGACAGTAGGAAAAATTGCAGATGCAGGATTGAGAACAGTTGCTCATCATACAGTGTACCACTTTTTTCTTTAATGCAAGCTGCCAAGTGCGAGCTACCATTGTATTGGAAAATGCAGCATTCTGTCAGTTGGAGCACTGAAAAGCAACATCGGTAACAAAATTAGTATAACCATAATGACAAGCAAGACTGAGTAACCACTGTTCCATTTTACATTCAAACCACATTTTTATACTTGTATACAAAGCATGACATCCACACGTAGCTGCCAAGAGCATTGGCAACTCACAAAGAAGCAGCACTAGCCAACTTAGCCACGACAAAGTTGCCCTTCTGTATGATGAACCTTGGGTTCAAAACAACTGCACGGAGAATTGTATTGTGTGAAATACCTGAATGACTACACAGTGCTCTCTGCTAAGCTTGAAAACTAAGGTGGCCAGCCTTGACTTTCAGTTCCACACCACAGTTAGGGAGTTCCTGACCGTTAGGATCAAACAGTTTGCTCTATAGTGCTTGATGACAAAAACAGTGTAACAACAGCAGCTTATTTATAATTCGAATTACGATAGTCTGCCTGCCACAAAGAATTCAAAGGGTCGAAACTTCTTTGTGTTTATTAAAGGGATTTAGAGATCTAATTATTGCACATAAGCAGCACACCTTGCATGCAGGCAGCTACGAGCTGTGATCTGTTTTTCTTCACTTGCTGAGCAAGAGGCAGCTGTTGCTGGGAACAAAGTGCGTCACAGAGTGGTTGAGATCTGCTTCGACAGCTGGTGCAAAACTATCAGCCGTTTCCATTAACACAATAGCATTAAGGAGCTCATTTCGCAAAAATTCTGATGTCAGCATCGTTGTTAGTGAGTGAGATTTCAAAAATTAAATATACAATAAAACATGTTCTGTGTCAGGGCAAATCACAGCCCGGCCTTCTGCGTGGCAAGCAGCTGTTCTACCATGGAGGCATGCAAGTAGTTGAAACGGCTCCACAAAAGAAACGCTGTAAGAATATCATGTAGCTGAAAGAGTGTGCTTAACGCATGTAGTATTATATGTCACAACCACAGCATAGTGCGAGGCATGATGAAAACATACGAAATGTGAAACGAATTGGTGGCTTCAAGATGCCCACCCACTACAAAGTGCCCAGGTGTGCACGGCCCCTTACAGACACTTGTTAAGTGGCGACTTTGCAAATGTACTTGCACTGGGCATTCAACAATACTTTAAAACAGACAATGTTATGCACACCAACGTTAGTTTCCTTAGTAAACTACAAAAGCCACAAAACGTCAAAATCAGAAAAAGAAATTTGCAGTATACAACAATGCTACACCAATTCCTGGCGTCCAAGAAAAGAAACCTCAAGGTAAACACTGTGACACAGCTATTGTGACGCACGAAGGCTATTTTAACATAGGCAGACGACGCTTCCTGCCCATTAGAGGCTCAGCGACGTAGACAGGACATATCAGATTGGTCACCCGTGCTGCATATAAGGGAACAACACTTGATAGGAACAATGCAGTACACAAGTTGAAAACTCATCCACATGAGCTGCCAAGATCGGTAGCAATTTCGCATGCTTAAATCTCTTACCAAATTACAGCCTTGACATAGTAAACTTAAATTGGTCTGCAAATCATCCTTGGGACTTGCGTTACCAGCTAATGCACTCATACGAAATTGTTACAACCTTTTCAGGGTCCCTTTAACAGTTTCATTTAAGTGCCAGAGATATCAACATCGAATCAATCCTGCATGGCACACACTCTAAGACATCTTAATACTAAGACAAACTAACAAGCCTTCAATCAGGATGCTGTAGGATGAGTAAATTCGCCAGAAGAGTCAATTATATTGTCCTACCTTTACTTTCTGTCATCTTGAAATGAAGCATTAGTAGCTTCATTTATTACTAACAGTCACCTACAATTCACCAACAGCAATCAGAAAATTTTTCATCATGGTATGTGGCATTGCAAGTTCATAGCGTAAGTCTCTGACCTAACAATAGAATGGCACAAGGGGCAACTAAGTAGACTGTTCTCTAAAATGCACAAAAGAACCTAAAGGACAATGAAATATGACCAGACATGGTTTTTCCAGCCTAAAGGATCACATGTTAGCCATAGAGAGCTTTTGAAAACAAATGAGAAACAGGTCGATATTCACCAGCAAAATGATATGACTAGCAGACCTTGTAAAAAGGAACATTGTAAAAAGCAAAACTTCATTAAAATTAAAAGAAGAATGCAAAACATGTGGGCAATATATTGCACAGAACTGTACAGCTTCCAAGTTGATCTTGCATTTTTAAATTAAATAAATGCAAATTTTCATGTGGGGTGTATAAATCCCATGGGTAACAATGTTAATGAGATTTCACAGACAGCTACATAATAATAATAATAATAATAATAATAATAATAATAATAATAATAATAATAATAATAATAATAATAATAGTATCCGATGTTTCACATTCCAAAGCAACAAGATCATTATGAGAGATGATTATGAGGGCTCCGGAAATTTCTCCCATGCGGTTTTCTTTAATGCACCCTGACATCGCATGGTACATGGGCCTCTAGCATTTCACTTCCATCAAAATGTGACCGCCACGGCCGGGATTGAAGTCGCGACCTTCAGGTCAGCAGTCTAGCACCATAACACATACTCTACTGCAATGGATGATGGACAGCAACAGGCATACATTTTTTCAACTCGCAAAGGCCTGGCATGAGTATTTTTACAGCTCCAAAGGAAAGATCACCAGGCATCTTCCGAGTCAGGCCTAACATAGGAAGCTGGCCTATAGGACAGTGCAAACAAACATCTGCTTAATAATGATAAAAAACGTTTGGCTCCGCCAAGCAACATAGTGTCGTGTGGAAGCATGTTGCTATAAAAGCACAATACTCGGGAGCTGTGGACAATGCCAAACATGGTTGAAATCTCAGAGATATGCAAATGCATTGATGTAACGAATGAGGAACGCCAAGCCTGGCAGGCCAGAGAAGTCTGGCCTTGACATTGATGGGTAGGGCAGACACTACAGAAAAAGACACTAACTATGCAGAGATGTCTATGTCAAGACACTAAAATTACATGGTGCTGAAACTGCTCCTCCAGCCACAGTTTTGACATGTCCTTAGGGGCTGACTGTAAGGATGTCATTGGATAGTGCAGCTTGTGACACATTTGCAATAATAACCAATTAAAAAAATTTCTGCAAGCCACTAGTGTGCCTCGCCAAGCGCTCTGGTTGTCAGCGTACACTGGCATGATGGCATTTTCATCACGTTCAACCACAGCAGGGACTGTGGGCCAATTCTGTGAGCAATTTGCACATAGCCTACAGTGTGCCGCCCACACTGGGACTGGCCCACATTACCAGCACAGAAAACAGAATTTTCACCTGACACGCAAGTGCTTGTCATGGTGGAACATCCTCGTTTGCATGCGTTAGTGCACCTTTTCTTGTTCACATGGAATCTAGAAAATAAGTAATTTTGCTGGTAAGGCCTTTCAGCACGAGGCTAAAGAAGAGATGCACTGTGCCTTTTTGTCTCATCTAATGAACGATGCTGCCGAAAAAAATAGTTTTCTAGCAGGCTAAAAAAGAATCGCAAAAGTTCCGAGTTATTTTTGTGTGCCCTAGAATACGAATGCCAATGCTGGGAAATCGATCTGGCCCCAGATCGAGGTTACACGACCTTCCTAAAGTGGTCGATGTCTGTTTACTGAACCAGTGGGCCGTGGTGGTGGTGGGGTAGCTGCCGGTAGCCTCCGAGAGACGGCGGTTGCAGCTGGCGTAGCAGGGATGCGCGTGGTGGACCGCCGCCGCTCGTGACGGTGACGTTTTCCGCGAAGGCCGAGTTGTCGTAGGCACCTGCGGCTGGCAGGGAGGAGGCTCCCACCAGGATGCCCTTGGAAGGAAGCAGGGCCGCAGGCACTCGATGGTGGCCTGCATGCACAGCAGAAAAACTCACGCAATTTCACATACCACTACATTAGACTCTCAGCAAACGGATATCTCTTAAATGGAATAACTGCCACTAGCATAATTATTTCTTACTAGCAGTCCTGTTCATCTCTCAGTAAATGAAACTCCTGCTAAATGAAACTCCTGCTAAATGAAACTATTTTCCTGATCCCTTAAGGTTCATGTTTAACGACAGGCCACTCTATTGTGGAGATCCATAGCAAAGGCCACCTATAGTTGCCAATGATAGTTGATCTCCACAGCTGCCAATAGAGCTCACCTCTAGTATGAGAGATGACGAAATATTTAACCACCAACAGTTATGAAACACATGACGACTAAATCCCGAGGGAGAAAAACAAAGGAAAATTTGAAGGGCTTCCATTTTCCTCCATTAGACCAACATTGATAAGAACCAACAGATAATCAAGCCAAGGAAAGTATAGGGGACATTATTTGTCATAGGTTACGACGTAAATGTGAACAAACTAAAGTGGGCAAAAAGACAACATACCACCAGTAGAGGATGGAACCTGGAACCTTCGAATGACACTCCTGACGCCCTACCAATTGAGCTATGGTGCCATTCGTATTGCTGTACACCTGTATATCAGTACCATGCTGGTCAGCGCAACTGATAAAGAAGCTCGTAAAGGGATCACATGCTATGCAACATCAGCAGGCATCAGCAAGAGTGTTCCATGCTCATCGTGATGACTATCAATGCACAGATATACTCATTAAAGAGCATGGAAGGACTGCCACCTGAGCTCAATCGATACAGCATTGGATGCGATAAAAGGTTGCGATTTCTGCCCCTCTAGCATCATGTTGCTTTTCTGTCCACTTTAAATTCTTCGTATTAATCCCTGCAAGTAGAGTCCCCTACACTCGACTCGGCCTGGTTGTCCATTGGTTCTCGGGACAATTATGATGACAGAAGATTAACCAAAACCAGTCCCTTCGAGGCTCCTGGCCACAAGCTGTGTTATTGGTGCGTACTCCTGTCCCAACCAGTCACACTGGCATGCGTCTTTAATCATTTGTTTTGCTTAGACACTGCCACTGAGGCACCATAAACTTTCGACCAAGCGCCCTCTTCAATTTCACACCCAATGTCTAATTTTCACTGAAGTAGCATAGTGTTAGAAAAATCTCGAATACGTCTGACAAAGTTTACGTTGACTGTTTTTTTTTTTGAGGGATAATCTTGTTGCTGCTATCTTAAAATTTGGTGCTATTTCACGAAAACGCTATTTCCCCCTAAGCTCGGCCAGGAATTCTATGACAATATACAAAAAAAAAGGACAATAACTTGGAATGTCACAAAATGAGAGATGCCAGCATGATTTCCTTGATAAAACTTTCATAGAGGCCCCTATATACTATAATACATTTGTGACATGATTATGGCAGGTGTGGATTTTGGTGTGATAAAGGTTCGTATTATTCCCAAGCTTAAATATACTGTCTCTGCACTACGTTAGTCCAACAGTCAATTTATTTTTCTTGATGTGTGAATGAGATGTTCACATCGTTTACCTTCAGTCGCTTACTTCTAGCACTTCATGGGAGTTTGAATTGTTCATAACTAACATGTTGTGAAAATGAAATTTATTTACAGAGGAGACAGACCTGCAGCATACACAGATGTGAAACCAGAAGAAACTAACCTCACGAAGTAGTAAAGTTTCTTGCCGTCTACACTGAGCACCATTGTCAGTCAGAATGACCAGGGGCAATAGAAAATGTGCAATGCTGAGGCACCGACACCAAAGAAGCAAGAATCGCACATCACTGGACGGATCGAAAAAGTCCTGTTAACGTGTTGAAAACGGTCCAAGGCCCTGCACGTGTCCTCAGACCGCTAGATTCGGTACCACCGGGACTCTCTCCATGAGAAGCACCTTCCTGTTCAACGTGCCCTTTGCGAATTGGTGAACGGTAGCCTGCCTCTGCGGGTGTGTGTGCTAGCTAAGGTACCACACGATAAGAGTGGTGCCCAGTGCTTGTGCATGGTCTTACTACGCTGTGGCACACCTGCCGGAGGCCCACTAGCTCTCATGACAAGGCATAGTGGTCCTTGCGAGAGTGCACATCCACATGGGACCTTGTCCCAAGCAGCGTGTCAAAGCTCACCATAGCCAGCTGCGACCTGTCCATGGTTCTCTTTTTCGTGCACTTTTCGAAATGGCTTCTGCACACAGGCAGCGAACGTCGTGCTGTGTTTGGGGTGCCGCCAAAGGCAGATAAAGGTTTTGTTGTGCATTGCTAGAAGGAACACTGTTGTCAGATTGAGCACTGTGCAGAGCGGCACACTGTACATGAGCAGGCAACAATGTACACGGCCGTGTGGCTTGCTAAGTTAAGTAAAGGTTAAATCAAATTCATTTCTGTGCAATGATAAAAAAAGAAGTAGCTTACTAGGTGCTCCTTTATCAGAATCGCGTTCAAGCCAGACGAGCCTTCATGGTGTCTGGGCTATTCATGAATAATAGAAACCAAAACCAAGCTCGAATCCCACATATACCAGCAGTAACATGTGTAAAACAGCTCACAGCGCCAGTTTTCCCTCTAGGTAAGCCTAAGAAACTCGATAGCAGCAGGTATATATTTTTTAATTTTGTGTATGTTCTGCTTAAGAAAGTATTCCACATGTCACTATAAAATTCGGTTGCATTCGGATTTCACTGTACTATGAAAATCCAGTCCCAGTGATTTCTGTGCCATCTGCAGGCAGGTAAACTGAACACTGTAATGCGGGCCCAAACACTCGGCTCGTGCGAGAAAATTGTTTGATCACCTGGAGAGGAGCGACCTGGCTGCCACCGCTTTTTCTTGGACAGAACCAGCAGCACAACGGAACCAAGCACTGTGGCTGAGCCAGCCACTAGAACCACGGCCAGGGGCCACGCCTTGTCTCCTCCACCTGCGCAAAAGGGTACGGTGCCTGTTGCAGGAAGTCAAACTAAACAGCAGACACTCATTTGCTTCTAGGACTATGCGACAATCACTTTTTAATTTGCAGCTTAGCTCATCCAAAGGCCTATTTCTCATGTCTTTCTAGCCAGAGTAACAGACACAGAAACGCAGTTTCTTGGCATTACACAGTCACCTTCACCTCTCAACAAGGCTTTGTGAGCAACAATACAGCACTGAAGGATAAACAAAATTAAAGTAAGTAATTATTATATTAACACGATTGTAAGTTGACTTGAATTTAGGTTGAATCCCCTAAAAGCCTGAGAAAAAAAAAAACTGAGCAAATTTCACAAAAACCTTCATTTACAAAGTTGCTGAAAAAAAAAAGCATACTGGTGTGCAAAAGTGGCTTCATGGCAGAGCTTGATAGCTGAGCAGAAAAGATAGCTTTGAGGCAATATGTGGGGTTTATTTTTAGAAAATTTTCTCTTCATTGTTGCAGAGGGTTCTGCTTATACATGATAATATACAGTACGAGATACAGGTATAAACCATGCCATATTGAATCTTTTGTTTGTTTCAAGCTATAAGTCGACCTTGCAACCTGAACGAGTTTTTGTTTTGATTGTAAGCCGAATGCATAAGCAAAATGCTCTCGGTTTTCGTCATTCCAAAGTCAAGGAGAACGAAGTGCACCCTTACCTCACAGCTGCAGAAGCTGTGCTATTTTATTTGAAGAATGCGTTCATAAAATATTAAGGCAGCATTACCGTGACATTCGCTCCCTTAAAATGTTACAGGCAATTTCCCTGATTGGAGCACAATTTTCCTGAGTATTACTAGAAAATGAGAAATACCGGAAATTCCCAATTTTTCCAGTCAGTAGATATCCTGTTACGGTGATGGAAATTTTTTTTGATGAAGAAATTCATATACAGGGGTTGTGTGCCGATGTTTTGACAAGTGGACTTGACTCTGTCAAAGCAAGAACCTTGAAGAAGTCCACTCGTCGAAATGTCAGCTCAAGTACACAACACCTGTTCATAGATTTTTTTCCCTCACAAGCTTCCACCTTTCTCTTTTTTGAAAATTCTGTCAGTTGTTTCCAAACCCCGTTGCAAACCAAGAAGCCTGTGCCATGACATCAGCACTACTGACTCACCTGAGCTTGGCCCCACAAGCCACCAGCTGGAGGAGTGTGCCGAGCCATTTAATGACGCGTGCTGGTGGCACATGGTCCAGCTGGGGAACGACGGAAGGCGTGGAGGGGGTGGCATTTCCAATATGGCCGACGGAGGAGGCGTGGTGCAGTGTGGGCAGCCAGCATGCACGCCACCCAGCACCACCAGGAGCCAAACCTGGGACACATCACGTAAGATTGCCTTATTTTGCCAAGCACTCTTCAACTGCAAACAAGCACTGTTTTTACAGTAAAAATGATACGTCGCACTACATGAGCTGTGCAAGGGCAGCCAAAGTGTTCCCCGGTAACACTGTGGCTCGGTGCTTGGCTGCTGACCTGAAGGATGCTAGTTCAATCCCAGCTATGATAAATGCATTTTGAAGGAGGTAAAATCCCAGAGGCCCATCTACTGTGCCATGTTAGTGCATGCAAAAGATCCCCAAATGGCTGAATTTATCCGGAGCACAGTTTCGCTCTCATCCCTGTTTAGTTGGCGTGCAATGATTTTCGTCACAAAAAGGTTTTATGCTGGCGACCACCAAGACTTCACCGAGATATTTTCATCACGTATAAGACATTGGTAAAATGTACACTAACAAATGAGAAATAAACAAACTAGAAGAAAAAGTTCTACAATGGTGAATCGAACCCATGACTTCCCAGTCCGCAATAATAGGCGCCCGGTGCTCCACCAATTATCCTACTGGCACACTACACTAGGTGCAACTACACTATACTCTGTTTCAGAAGTTCCCTTCAGGACTGTGGAGGCTACAGGGCCCACAGCCAATAGGAAAGGTGATTAGCCCCTCCACATGTAATGATCCCCACCGTGTCGTCTGCTCACCATCTTCAGGGCGTCTGCTCACTTAATTGTCCTTGCATGCTCACTGCATGTAGCATGGGTGGTTTATTAACTTTAAAAAATAAGTAAAACTCTCAAACAATCCATTCCACTTCAATGTCAAGAATGTTTGGCGCCTTAACAGTACGATTTGTGGCTCTACTGAAAATCGGTAGACGCTCATGCCAGCGGATAACTTCACTTTGTGGCTCTCCGAAGCTGTTCTTGGCTCTGGCATGACTTTCTTTCCTATCTTTTTTTGTTTCAGCGAAGGAGTATTTGACACCTGCCGAACGCTGTGCAAGGTTGCATGTCCGATATTTGGGGATTGTTATGCCTGCGAGTCCGCAGCGAACGTCCGTGCCTCGGAAAAAGGAAATCTGTGTCAAGGCCAGCCCGCGAGCCCGCCTGACACGAACAACTCAACGGTGTAAACACGCGGCGGCGCCTTTTTGGCGCGCACGTGCAGTGAGTCCCCTCAGCCCGCGAGCCCGTCGAGTAAACAACCGGCGTCTTCCTGTCTGGCGGGTCTGACGCAATGCCTGGCGACGTCACTCGTCCTTTGGTACAGCCACCTGCAGTGCAGCCTCTCCAGATTCGATGAGAAAGAATGATGCGGCCCAGCGGCGACCCCCATTGGAGGAGTCTGACCTCATGACCAGCGGCGCTTCTGGTTGAACATTTTGTTATTCAAAGAATCCACCCGGTGCATATAAAAGAAGCCCTGCGGCGCGTCGCGAGAAGCAGACCTGTTGGAGAGCAGACATGTGTGTCAGAGCAGTCCTATGTGAGAGCAGACATGTGTGTCGCAGTTGAGCTATGTGTTAGCAGACCCATTTGAGAGCAGACCTATGTGTTAGAGAGGAGAGCTCGGCTCTTCGAGTCTCTGTCGGCCCCAGTGCCGAATTTGTAACGCCTCTGTATATATGCTGTACATAAACCTTGTTTAACTCACCGTCGTCTCGTCCGCTCGTCTATCAGCTCTGCGCAGAAGCAGTCGCGAGCTGAGAAACCTACGCTACCAAACGGCTGGTGACCTTCCCGGCGGAGTTCGAAGCAGTGGCGCCTTCGGAACCGTGTTGGCGTCGCCGTCTTTCGAAACAGTGGTTGCAGAGTTGAGATTTGTAGCGCCCTTCGTAACGTCGTCGGAGGCGCGCTTCGTAACAGTGGTTGGTAGCTGCGGGATCGGCCGGCGTCAGCGACATCGATGCGCGTCGCAACAGTGGTTGGCAGCTGCGGGATCGGCTGGCATCAGCGACATCGATGCGGTGAGTGCCTGATGTTTTCCTCTCAGTTCACCAGACTACTCTAGCTCAGGTTATAGTAGTTTAGAGAAGGGCTGTGTGAAGCATTAGAGTGAGCTTTGATCGTTTCAAGCCAAGTCGAAGTGCTTTGAAACCAAAGTTAATGCGGAGGGTGTAAACACGGGAGTGTGAAAATTGACTTATAGTGGGTATGGCAAGTAAATTGTTAACAGAGGCAAACAGCAAGAGGCTAGTGTGAACGATGGAGAACCTTAAAGTGAAGGTACTCATCGAAATTTGTGAGGAACTCGGCATTACTTTGGGCCGTGCGAAACGAAAGCAAGCCATCCTTGAGATCATGAAGGAAGTCGATGAGGCCTGGGTGGATATCAAAGCACGCCGCGAGGTGGCTGAAAGGCGTGAAGAAGCTGAAAAAGCTGAACGTGAAGAAGCTGAAAGGCAAGAAGCTCGCGAAGAAGCTGAAAGGCGAGAAGTTCGTGAAAAAGCTGAAAGGCGAGAACGCCGCGAGGAGGCCGAGAGACGGGAGCGCCTCGAGTTGAAACGAATAGAATTGGCAATACTGCAGTGTTCGCAGGCCCCTAGCGTAGCTTCTCCGACGATTCAGTTCAGCGGTTATAGAATTCGGGAGCAATCGCCACCGTTCGTAGTAGGCGAGAACATGGCGAAGTATCTCGTCAAGTTTGAACACGTCTGTGAGCGAAATGTTTTGGAGCGGTCTCTTTGTGCGCAGAACCTGTTAGCTCTTCTTCCCAGCGAAGTGTCCGACGCGATAACTTGCTTGTTGAGGGAAGCGTTTGAGAGCCATGACGAGGTGAAGGAAGTGCTCTTGAGACGTTATAAGTTGTCACCCGAGGCTTTCAGGCAAAGGTTCCGGTATGCTAAAAAGGGGAATGAGTCACACGTTGACTTCGCGTTTGGTCTTAAAGTTGATTTATTTGAATGGCTTAAGGGCGAAAGTGTTAATGATGATCGCGATAAAGTGGTGGAATGCATTGCATTGGAGAAATTCTACCGCTGCATCGAAGAGGGTGTCAAGCTTTGGCTGCAGGACAAACTGGGTCAAGAACAGCTAAAAAAGGCAGCAGAGCTAGCTGAGGAGTATTATACTCGCCGAAAGTTGCATAGCAGGGCAGTGCACCTAGAAAAGGATGAAAGGAAAAAGGAAGGGCACATCGCGATAACCTGTAAGCAACAGTTTGCAACTATCTGAGAATCGGAAAACAAACAGAAGCCGCGAATATGCTACAACTGCAAAAAGGAAGGGCACATCGCGATAAACTGTCAGCAAAAGTTTGCAACTATCCTAGAATCGGAAAACAAACGGAAGCCACTAATCTGCTACAACTGCAAAAAGGAAGGGCACACCGCGATAAACTGTAAGCAAAAGTTTGCTTTTGCAACAATCCGAGAATCGGAAAAGAACATGTGGTTGTTGGAGCCGTATATCCAAGAAATTAGTGTGAATGGGCAAACGTGTCGAGCACTTCGTGACTCAGCGGCAACCATGGATGTTGTCCATCCTTCATTGGTGTCTCCGGATGACTTTGCAGGAGAATGCGCGTCGCCAGGCAAGTCACCGAGGAGCAGAGTGCTTGCTTACCAATCGCCACGGTTGTCATTGAAGGCCCGTTCGGTAAGCTTCGCACCGAAGCGGCTGTGTCTGCCGCGCTTCCCGATCGTTTTCCTTATCTTTTCACCAACAACTCAGAGCAGCTTCTCAAAGAGCAGGGTAAATCGTTCTTCCCCAACTTAGCGTACATGGTCCTCACGCGATCGCAAGCGCGGAAGCTTTCGCAGGAGCTTGATCTTGTTTAATGCGGTGAACTCTCAAGTGACCTTGTCGGCGGGTCGACGGAACCTCAGAGAGGAAGTTTTCAGCGTGAGTCATGTGAGCAGTCACGCGAGCGGCCCGTCGCCGAAGCGACCGGCGCGGTTTTCGTAGCAAGGGGAGACGACATGGCACCATTGAATCAGAGCGAGAGGGCTGCAACGCTCTCGCCTGTAGCGGAAAGTTGGAGTGAGCTGTCGAGGGTTGATCGAGAAACGCTCATTCGAGAGCAGCGTGAGGACCTCTCGATTAAAGCACAAGTGGAAAGCCACATGAAAGCTTTACAAATGTTGTTGAAGGAGTAGTACGACAAATGGGCGAAGAAGCGCGCTTTTGAAGTAGGAAGTCAGGTAGTGCTGCTGCGGCCGTTCAAAAAGAACAAGCTTGAGATTCATTGGGAAGGGCCCGCCAAAGTAATATCTAAGCTTTCCGATACGAATTATGAAGTGAAACTAGGAAGGCGGCCGAACAAAATTTACCACAGTAACTTGAAAGCAGTCGTAAATCTGCTTTTGAATGCTTCAGAGGAAGAGGGAGCAGAAATTTTGAGTTCTAGTGATGTAATCAAAAGGGGACCGGAGGTGATCTTGGAGCAGTTGAACCTAGAACCTAGGTTAAGTGAAGTCCAGAAGGAGGACCTGAGAAAGATTGTTTTGGTGTTTGAAGACGTGTTTTCGGACTGTCCCGGAAACACGACGGTGATCGAACACGATACCGAGCTAACTTGTGAGGAGCCAATCCCTAGCAAGCCATATCGTTGTTCTCCTGTGGAACGTCGCAACTATGAGCAGCTGTTGGTACCGCATAAGTATTGTCAACTAAATGTGGCCGGTTACAGAGATGGAGCGTGATACTCCAACAACGCAACTTTGACGTTCGCTAAAAAAAAAGGAAAGCTAAACGCTAATGCACACGCAATGAGCCGTGCGTTTAATTAGTTCCTTCTCCACCTTTCGGTTTCTCGCTGGCGATTCGGGGCAAAATATTGACCTCATCACGACCTGAGCTAAGCTTTCTCGTCCAAAGTGAGCTCAAGGAGCCAACTTTATGTTCTATTCTAATTCGTTACGTTGTTGTACGTGAAAAAAATTTGAGTTGTCATTTTAAGAGTCTTGTGTCCCACATGTGCCTCTTGATGTAGAGGGAACGAAATTCCGATAAACACGTAGCTAGGTATATGTTGTACTATACTTTGTACGGTGTTCTGTCGGGTGACCGAGGGCACTTGCTTGTGTCGTGTGTTGTCTGTTGTCAAACCGTTCTTGGCAAGTTGCAGAACCATCGACAAGTGCTGAGACCAAAGATCGTCAGAAGAGATGAGCGAAGCTGGCCGGCAAGTTGTGGCGACAAGCCAGTGAAGTTGGGATCCGTCCTCAAGAATGGAATGTGTTCCCGAAACTGAGTCTGGAGCTGCATTCTCCCCATGGCCCTGGAGGCAAACCTGGAGGGACCTGGCGAACGAGCGCGCCTGACATACGAGCCACGTGGAAGCAGCTGGTCTTTCCGGCACATTGTCTGGCGGCAGGGTGCTGTTATGCCTGCGAGTCCGTAGCGAACGTCCCTGCCTCGGAAAAAAGAAATCTGTGTCAAGGCCAGCCCGCGAGCCCGCCTGACACGAACAACTCAACGGCGTCAACACGCGGCGGCGCCTTTCTGGCGCGCACGTGCAGTAAGTCACCTCAGCCCGCAAGCCCGTCGAGTAAACAACAGGCGTCTTCCTGTCTGGCGGGTCTGACGCAATGCCTGGCGACGTCACTCGTCCTTGGGTGTAGCCACCTGCAGCGCAGCCTCTCCAGATTCGATGAGAAAGAATGATGCGGCCCAGCGGCGACCACCATTGGAGGAGTCTGACCTCATGACCAGCGGCGCTTCTGGTTGAACATTTTGTTATTCAAAGAATCCACCCGGTGCATATAAAAGAAGCCCTGCGGCGCGTCGTGAGAAGCAGACCTGTTGGAGAGCAGACTTGTGTGTCAGAGCAGTCCTATGTGAGAGCAGACATGTGTGTCGCAGTTGAGCTATGTGTTAGCAGACCCATTTGAGAGCAGACCTATGTGTTAGAGAGGAGAGCTCGGCTCTTCGAGTCTCTGTCGGCACCAGTGCCGAATTTGTAACGCCTCTGTATATATGCTGTACATAAAACCTTGTTTAACTCACCGTCGTCTCGTCCGCTCGTCTATCAGCTCTGCGCAGAAGCAGTCGTGAGCTGAGAAACCTACGCTACCAAACGGCTGGTGACCTTCCCGGCGGAGTTCGAAGCAGTGGCGCCTTCGGGACCGTGTTGGCGTCGCCGTCTTTCGAAACAGTGGTTGCAGCGTTGAGATTCGTAGCGCCCTTCGTAACGTCGTCGGAGGCGCGCTTCGTAACAGAATGCAGCGTTGTTGGTCTGGCGACACAGCCCAAGCACTGGCCTCAGCGCGTTAGGCTTATCAGAAATGGCTATGCAAGCAGCATAATGCGCTAATAATGACCAAACATACCTGATACTTCATCCTCAGAGCAAGATGAAACAAATTGATGGCTGATTTTACCATTTATTTGTTGCTGTCAGCACTGTGGGCTTTTTATTTTATTGCTGTCAGCACTGTGGGCTTTTAGCAGGAGCCAGTTCATATCGAAGCGGGCGGTCTCTTCTGCATTGGGGCTGCCATGTTGATTTGTAACCATAGTTACTGCTGGTAAGCGATACAAATAATTAAATGCATAAGAAATAAATGCCATGTAGAAAACAATATCGTGTAATGATGTGGCGCAACACATACCAAATAAATGCCAATTTTAGGCAACCCTGCCACTTTCAAGAGACTCATATCTGTGACTATGTTTCGCTGTGCAAGCGTGTGGCTTTGTTTCAACCCGTAGCTTTGGTGGTGCTGAAACAGAGTACAGGTGCAACTGTTCTTCCAATATTATTCTTAAAAAAAAAAAAACTACCTACTCAATAGAAGTCAAGTTGTCAGTTTGTCAGGTTATAAATAATCTACATCCAAAGTAACAAATATAGGAGTACCGCAAGGTTCTATTCTTGGTCCACTTCTTTTCATAGTTTATGCAAATGATCTGCCATCTAGTCTGACCAGTTCAGAATGTTTACTGTATCGAGATGACACAACAATTGTTAACTTTGATAAGTGCCTTCAGTCTTTGACACAGAAACTGAATTGTGACCTTTCAAGCTTGACTGCTCAGTGTACCCATAATAAATCAATCCCAATAAAAAGAAATTCCTTGTCTTCCACTCCTACCAATGTGAACATAATTACATCCTGCCAATACTCCTAAATCAATTCACAGTTGAAGCAGACGATGACGTGACCTTCTTGGGAATTAAAATGAACCATAATTAAAATTTCATTCACATGTTGCACACCTACAAAAAAAAGTTTTTACAGCATACGTGTTTTAATTAAATCCCACGATACATTTTCCCATATTACATTACTTTCCTTGTACTATGCTTTTGTTCATTCTCACATTATTTACTGTATCACTTCTTGAGACGATACCTACACTAGTCATCTCGTCTCTCTACAAACCATGCAAAATTCCTCCACTAGAATACTTATCCGCAGTCATTACTAATGCACTCGTACATGCAACAACAGTTATATTATATTTGAAAGTGAATAACACTTTCAAATATAATATAGGAGTACAAGTTTTCAAGCAAATAAAAAATCAGCTTTCTTTGGTTTTAATCCCTCCATGAAGTTTAGAAAATAAAATATTGACAAGGTTCGCACACCACAATCGCAATTTCATCTTACTTTTAGTTCATACTAACTATGACAAAAAAAAAAAAAAACAAATAGCCCACTTCCCTTGAATCACTCTCCGGAATTGGTTACTGTCAGAAATTAAAATCCTTGCAATTCATCAGCACGTTCAAAAAAGAATTAAAAACTTCCTGCCATTCATTCCATAATCTGGATAGTTTCGGTCACTCCCATTCACTTTTATGCGTTCTCACAATCTATCATTGACAAAGCATTGCATCATCATCATACACTGATGATGATGATGGCCTCATATGAATGGCGCTCACCCACACTGCTGAAATTGGATTTCACTGTTTTGTTTTCTTTCTCATCATTCATTTTTACTATCTTTCACCATGTATTATCTGAAAACTGTCTAGGAGATTTGAATTACCTTTATTTACAACGAAGTCCAATTTCGGCCTTTTTTGCTACTTTCTGTTATTGCGTTCCTTAATTAGAACTCTTTTTTTTTTTTGCCTGCAATGTATTATGCTGCTTGTTTTCTGTTATACTGTTAGATGCTTCAATTAATTTTCTCTATATTCACTACTGTAGGAGGTCCCAATTCCCTCTATGACTATGGGACTTCCTTCTATATACACAAATACTGTATTGATTTCATGACTAAATAAAAACATTTTTGATATCTCTCACATGCGCTCTCTCTAGGCAGGGCAAGGCAGGACGAGGTGGTGCCTACTGTTGTCTCCCGTGGGATCATACTGTCTAAAGGGTGACTATACAGTAACTGTGTGACCAATTAGTCATTGAAAAAAAAAAATGTATCACCACTTATAGGGAGCATATATGCTAACTCTTGAACCAACGGCTTTATTGTGCCATGTACCCTCTCCATCATGGAATTGCTGAGTGCGCTCCACAATGCCCTCCAAACTGGCAAACCACTTGAAACCTCAGCGACCGTGGTTCTCTAATGCGATGTTTCCATCTCCCCACTTGGTAGAACACCTTTAAAAAGCATATACTCGCTAAACTACTTTTCATGTACCCCGAGGCGACTTTAACAAATAAGAGTATATTATCCTTTGTATAGGGAACCGGCGAATCCCGAATGAATCAGATCTACAAATAAATAAACAGGTATGGCATCACTGCAGTCGGCTGTTAATTTTCAGGGACCATGCATATTTAAAACATCCATAGGATGTTGTAACTACAACTTGATGGGGATGTACAACACGAGCTTCCCCTGGAAACTTCGAGCACCTTGGTATCCCTGAGGGCCGATGTCGGCGATATTAAGGTGGTACATGCGAGCATGTTTGGCATGCGTGCTTTGTTAAACATCAATGTCGAACAGCTAATTGTCGCTTTTAACAGATTGTCGGGAATGGCATCGCGCCGATTTCATTACTTTTTTCCCAATCAACTGCGTGCTGGCCCCAATGCACCGGCTAAAGCTGCTGGATGTGTGCACGTACATATGCAAATTTTAATGTGCACTAAATTTATAACGTCGTCTAATTAGCAACGACAAGTATGAGTGCATTTTGGCAAAGAAGTCGCTTTCTACAAATTATCCCGAGTAAGTGAAATATAGCATGCTAAAGAACCGCTCACATTAATTTGCAAAAGGCACGAGACAGCGCTGCTGCGTATGTACTACCGAGGGGACTGGCGAAGCCAACAACGGAAAAAACACAGGTCAGCAAAATCTGGCGGCAGCACTCCACTGCGGTGCTGGAAAGCTCACCTTCGACAGCCAAAACATTTCAAGGAGTCGTCGTACACATCACGCCGAAAGAGCGAATCACCTCGCACTCCTCTGGTCGGACGGCGATGACTACATAACCATAGACACAGTCAGGAACTCCTCGCGAAATGAAGGACAGAAACGGATAAATTGCAAAGTTTATGTATATGCCTGGACAGGCGTCGAGCTGGGCGAGTTCCGAAGCTACAGCGAAGAAGAAATGCTGCGCTGCGATTGGCTGCATTCGTCACGTGCCCAGCTTCAGTAGGATCCATGGTAAAGTGTTCTCAGATTTTTTTTTCTTTCGTACAGTATACCACTCATGAAGGAAGGAATGAAGCACGGTGGCAGTTTTTTTTTTTTTTTTTCATGGAGTAAAACTTTTTTTTCTCTATGCTACCACTTTTCGTAGTTATTTTGCTGATAATGATAGTTTGTAGCGAACGAACTCTTTCTTTAAATTTTTACCTCTTTTTTAATTACTGCATTCTCACTATTATGGTACAATCGGCTGGGCACTACACAGTGCAACATGATGAAGCCCACTGCTTGAAGTCAGAGAAAAAAGTTTGTCTCAGGCGACGGTGAACGAGAAGCCGCTCGACAGCATGCTCGACAGCACCAACGCGTCATTGAGCGGCACATTACATCTACAAGTCCCTTCTGAAGGAGCACAAGTGTCTCCAGAATTATTTCTGCAAGTAGAGGGGCAAATAAACCTTCTTACAAAAAGCAAAGTCACTTACTCGTCTGTCACTACCAATGTTTATACACAGCCTCCACAGCTCCTGTGCTGTCGTGCATAGAATTTCATAAAATTCTAAAATTAACTAGAAAGAGACCGCAGGTATTCTCTGAGGCAATGCCTCCTTAGGAGGCCTTGTCTGAGGCTCTGAGGGCCTAAAATTAACGGCACACCCGGACGCGCCTCGCACCCGGTTCGAGAATATCAAAAAAAAAAAAGAAAAAAAAAAACATGTCGTCTGCAGTGTGCATTGTTGGCATCGTTCACGAACAAGACGTTAGGCGTTAAGTGGTGACCAGCCTCCTTGAATACAGTCGCCTGAGGCTCATTTTAGTGAAAATCACAATGGGCAAGAAGTAAGTGCGTGTGGAGCGTCGTGTAGACAAGAAGGGCTATGCCCTTTGGAATGCCGACATGTCTTGGTTGGGCGGCACACTGTCATCACTCACCAACCAGATATCGAATCTGACGAGCGAAGTTCTGCTCGAAGGACGTGAAGAACTGGACGGTACGTGCTTCGGCCGATAGGCGAACACGGTTGCTCGCAGCTGTTCGTTTCGCACCAGTTTGTCCGTGAGGTTATTCTCGACTTCCCCGATATCGTGGTATGTAGAAGCTAGCATCGGCTGTAGCCGTCGCATAAATGAATGCATTGCGAGAGGTGCCAATGGTACCCTGGCCTATATATGCAAGGCACAGAGCGCACGCTTAGCCACATAGCTCTGGTTACGTTTGAATGCCATTTATTCTCGGCCACGATCGCAACACCGTTCTGGCAATTTTTTAGCGATGTTTCATTTGCTGTAGCCTTCCAGCAACAATCTAGCGAACAAAAAAGAAATAGCGATCTTTTGTACGTAGTGGCAGGACGTGACGTTGAAGCAAACTAAAACATGGACGTTATCCGTTTTCTGCAGGTGGCGAGTGGCCGCCTTTAAGGCCGGCTGACCGCGAGCGAATGAAATTTTAATAGAACAGACTTTTGGGCTAGTTGGCTTGTTATGTGCAATGAAGCCAGAGCAGGGAGTGCGCGCGTCCTGTCCTCTTACTTGGTCCGCTTCATCAGCGCTGTGGAATTAGTGAACAAAATATATCATATGCATGCGCACGAGTTGTGGTGGTACGTTAAAACGTGAAGGATCTTGGAACTAAACATGTTTGTGAAGTAACTGTCGTTCCGTGCCATCGTAATGTGCTTATAACCAACGTGTCACGTTTTTCAGACCAAGGAGCGCAACTGCAGCTGTTTAAAGCACGCCTCGAACAGCTTGAGGGCTGCAATGCTACTCTTCGTAAGGAGGTATGTGGCTTATTATTGCATGCAGAGCGGGATAGTATGGGCTTTGCTCACATACATCACTGATGTGAAAGTAACAGCGCAAACACGCAAGACGTCCCACATAAGAAGGACCCGGCAAACAAGTGTGCCAACTACCAGCCTTTATTTCCTTGGGTTGTCAATGCACATGTAAGCCCAATGCAGCCCAGTTGTATCAGTGATACGTCTTCATCCCTGCACTCATCTGAATACGAATTCTTGTTCTTGTGCTTTTAATACACCAATATGTCACTTTTGTTCAGAAATACTGTTGTGTGTGCATTTGGAACATCGCTGCCTTGGGCTTATATATATATATATACAATGACAACTAAAGGAGCAATGCAATTGACGGTCAGCGCTTATGTGAGCGCTGTGTCACGTAAGGAATACATGCAAACTAGGCTCAAATGAAGTTTTATTCTCACATACATGCATGTCACGAAGAATGCTCACAATGTCTGGTTTGCGCCATTTTTAGAGTGAAAAGAAAGTTGAATGACATTTAATGGACAGAGCTTGGCTTTGATGCACGTTTGAGACAAAAATAATTGCCTGGGTATTGCGGCCAAAGCCACACTATGATTATGTCCTAAGGGGGTGACTGCACATTCGCTGTGGTGACCTGGCCTTCCCTCATGGGCCCCTATTCTAAGGGCATGGGTCTTTAGGCATTGCTTCCCCATCAAAATGCAGCTGCTGTGACCGGTAATTGAACTCATGCCCTCGAGCAAGGCACCTTACAAGATAAGATGCCACAGTGGTTAAGGCACACAGATGCTTGTGTTACCTAAGGATAAATGATGCAATGCAGAGGTGCCCACGGGCAAATAATCAGAATGCTCGCTTCTACACAATGGCCATGTCTGGCTGTAGCTACTTGAAATATAAAATGCGTCGACGATGCTTTCAATGCATTTTGTGCAATTGTTTAAAGCATAAAAGCATAGGCAGAGTGTTTTCATATTCCCGATGTGGGTAGGGCACCTGATTTGCTCTTCCACATTTCTCTCTCACTGTGTTCGTATATATATATATATATATATATATATATATATATATATATATATATATATATATATATATATATATATATATATATTGTCGCAGTACAACGCGAACAAAGCACAAGTACGCCTTGAGGCAGCGAAAGCAGCGTGTTCTCAATAGCTGAGCCACAAGATCATCTTCGTTCTCGCGTCAAGCCAAAGGCCCACTACCTGGTGTCCGCTAAATCCCCCCATCATCGTTTTTGTCCGCATGTAGACACGGGTCATTTGCCTCCCTCTCAAAGAGCATCGACCCGATGCGAAGTCAATAATGCAGTTTTTGTTAAAAGATAAGTCTCACGCAATCACTCGCTGACGTAAGGCTTCATGCGCACTACGTGAACGAGTTCAGGATGGTGCTGGCGACGATTGGTACTACACGAATTGTCGGGAACAACTTCGTAAGTGACGTCACTCAGTTGTCGCAGCACTCGGTATGGCCCAAAGTATCTTCTTAAGAGCTTTTCTGATAGTCCTCGTTTCCGTACGGGTGTCCAAATCCATACTTTGTCGCCAGTTTGATAGACAACTGCTCTGCGGTGAGCATTGTAGCGGCCTGCATCGTACTCTTGCTGCTGGCGGATCCGTAAACGTGCCAGTTGTCTAGCTTCTTCCGCGCGTTCCGTAAACGTGTTGGCGTCTGGGTCGATGTCGTCACTTTCGTGCGGCAGCATCGCATCTAACATAGTTCGTACTTCTCGTCCATGAACGAGGCTGAACGGGGTCATGCGGGTCGTTTCTTGCTTGGCCGTGTTGTACGCAAACGTTATGTATGGCAAGATTTCATCCCAATTTTTGTGTTCGATATCTACGTACATTGAAAGCATGTCTTCAATGGTTTTGTTCAGACGCTCCGTCAGCCCGTTTGTTTGTGGATGGTAGGCAGTGGTCTTACGATGCGTTGTTCCACTCAGCATCAGGACGTGATCCAAGAGAGCTGCCGTAAATGCGGTTCCTCTGTCTGTGATCACGACGGTTGGTGCACCATGCCTCAGTACAATATTTTCGATGAAAAATCTTGCCACTTCCGCTGCTGTACCTCTCTGAATAGCTTTTGTCTCGGCATAACGGGTCAGGTAATCCGTCGCGACGATAACCCAGCGGTTTCCTGCAGTGGAAATAGGAAGTGGGCCCAAAATGTCCATGCCTATCTGGTAGAATGGAGCTGTTGGGACCTGCACGGGTTGCAGTAGGCCAGCTGGTTTAGTCGGTGGTGACTTGCGTCGCTGGCAGTCGAGACAGGTACGAACGTGGTGCTTCACGGCTGTGGTTAGTCTCGGCCAGTAATACCTTTGCTGTACTCTGGCCAACGTTCTCATGTAACCCAAATGGCCAGAGGTCACCTCGTTGTGGCATGCTTTAAGTATTTCGGTACGAATGGCTGCTGGTATGACGAGCAGATAGGCGGATCCTGTCGACGAAAAGTTTCTTTTGTAAAGTACTCCGCCCCGTAAACAAAACGATGACAATACTCTTGCGAAAACTCTTGGCGCCTTCTGAGATCTGCCTTCCAAGTAGTTAAGCCAAGCAACTCAGTGTCGTCATGTTGTTGCTGCGCAATGGCGGTCGTGTCGAGGACACCGAGAAATGCCGTTTCCTCCTCCTCGGGTAGGGTTGCCAACTCAATGGGTGAACGGGACAGACAGTCAGCGTCCATATGTCGCTTGCCTGACTTGTGCACGACCGTCATGTCAAACTCTTGCAGTTTTAGGCTCCAACGCGCTAATCGGCCGGTGGGATCTTTTAGATTAGTTAACCAGCAAAGGGAGTGATGGTCACTAATAACTTTGAAGTGTCGGCCATACAAGTACGGGCGAAATTTCATTACTGCCCATACTACGGCGAGGCATTCTTTCTCTGTTGTTGAATAGTTAGCCTCTGCGCGTGTTAGCGTTCGGCTTGCGTAGGCGATCACTCTTTCTGTGTCCTCTTGCCGTTGTACAAGCACAGCCTCAAGACCTACATTGCTAGCGTCTGTGTGAAGCATCGTCGGGGCTTCTTCGTCGAAGTGGGCGAGCACAGGGGGCGTTTGGAGACGTTGACGCAGGTCATTAAAGGCAGCCTCCTGTTCTTCTTTCCACTCAAAGGCAACATCATCTCTTGTGAGACAAGTTAGTGGCGACGCGATGCAGGCAAAGTCTGCGATAAACCGGCGATAATAGGCACAAAGGCCTAGGAAGCATCTGACAGCCTTCTTATTGGAGGGTACTGGGAACTGTGCGACGGCGGAAATTTTTCCAGGATCGGGCCGGACGCCTGCGTTGCTGACGACGTGACCGAGAAACTGAAGTTCGTGAAAACAGAAATGGCACTTTTCTGGTTTTAATGTTAGGCCCGCGAACCGTATGGCACGTAAAACAACTTCCAGCCTTTTGAGATGCTCGTCAAAAGTGGTCGAAAACACTATAACGTCGTCCAGATAGACTAGGCACGTCTTCCACTTCAATCCCGAAAGTACCGTGTCCATAAGCCTTTGAAAAGTTGCGGGCGCGGAGCACAAACCGAAAGGCAAGACTTTAAATTCGTATAAACCATCTGGGGTCACAAAAGGGGTTTTCTCTCGGTCTCTTGGGTCTACCTCGATCTGCCAGTAACCACTCCTCAGGTCCATGGAAGAAAAGTAGCGAGCGTGCCGAAGTCTGTCAAGGGAGTCATCAATACGTGGGAGCGGGTACACATCTTTCTTGGTCACCCGATTCAGCTTCCTGTAGTCCACGCAAAAACGCAGGGTGCCGTCCTTTTTCTTTACTAGCACTACAGGCGATGCCCAGGGGCTCTGCGACGGTTGAATGACGTCATCAGCAAGCATTTTCGCGACTTGTTGTTGTATGGCTTCGCGTTCCTTTGAAGCTACGCGATAAGGGTTCTGGTGGATAGGTCTCACCGTGTCCTCGGTGATTATTCGGTGCTTTGTCAAAGGTGTTCGACCAACTCGTGATGTCGTTGAAAAGCAGTCGCGGAATTCGGCTAGCAGCTGAAGAAGTCTCTGTCGCTCGTCCTTTGACAGAGTGGTGCCAACATCGAGAATCGGTTCTGGTTCTTGATAAGGCTCTTCGTCCAATACCGACAAACATAAACTGCCTCGCATTTCTACAATATTGTCGTACGAAGCGATAGCTGTGCCCTTCGGAAGGTGCCGGCGCTCAGCACTAAAGTTCGTCAGAAGTAAATTCGTGCGTCCACCAGTGAGACGGACGATACCTCGTGCGACCAAAATGCCATGACTAAATAGCAGCGAGCCAATTTGGTCAGCAATGCCTTCGCCATCAAACGCTTCGTCGCCTTCTACTGAAACAAGAGTACATGACAGGGGCGGGACGACCACATCATCATCAATTATACGTAAAGTGTTGCTTATTGCGTCTGAACAGTCAACTAAACCAGGGCTGTTGCGGAATGTAATTGAACGGTCCGGGATGTTGATGACGGCACCATATTCTCTTAAGAAGTCCATCCCTATGATCAAGTCCTTGCAACACGAGGTGAGGATGACGAACGTCGCCACGAAAGAAGAGCCACCCGATGTCGAGTCTTGCTGTACACCTTCCGACAGGCATCAACAGCTGGCCGCCTGCTGTCCTCAGGTGAGGTCCCGTCCACGTAGTCTTCACTTTTTTGAGGCGTACGGCAAGGTTTTCACTTATGATAGAAAAGTTGGCGCCGGTGTCAACTAAGGCTGTTACTTGCTGTCCGTCTACCGAAACGGTAAGATCTGTGGTCACAGTTTCGTCAGTGTTACAACTTCTCGGCTTTACGGCGTCCTGTGGTACAAGTAACGGGGGCTTTTTTTCGTCGCCTTGACGGCCTGCAACCTCACCCCCGGAGGTCGCCGCCTTCAGTTTCCCCGGCGTGGACTTGGTGACCTCCTTCCACTGACGTCGGCTGTAGTTCGGTGGCGCGACGAAGGCGAATATGCCGGAGACGGAGAGCGTG